TTTGACAACTTAACGTTTAAGCGTTCTGTATAATTATCTATTTTCCAATCTAAATTATTTACAGATCTAAATCTAATAACTAAATTTTAGATACTTCACAAACAAAATCGTTCTTTCCGTGCGTAGTTCCTGCAAAGTTTTCGAAGAATATCTTGCTTTCTTAATGTAAGAAAAAAATCTTAATTAAATAAAAAATTTAATTATTTAAAGTGCATAACTTTCTTAAAACATGATTTTTAATAACATTGAAATAAAATAAAATTAAACACAATTTTTATGTGATTAATGTATAACGTGTCTCACATTTCATTGTCACCTCAGTCTGCGATTTATAGTGTATTGTTAAGTTATGCATCATTTCACATCTAAAGTTAGCGTAGAGAAATTTCAAGGTGACGAGCACGCGAGTTTCATACCCGAGCACGCCCTTATCGATAAAACATCTATTTTCTCCGCGTTCGATATTTCAACGACTTGTCAATACTTCAAGGTTCTTCTCTTTATCGCCGACACTATCGACATGCGTAGTGAGAAAAGGAAGAGAGATATAAAGACAATAGTTTTATCTTATCCTTTCTTATATCTTGGATATTTGAAGAAACTATTTTCCTTATTTCGAATATCTCGCTATATAGGATTATTATTAGCCAGAATTTAAAACGATGGCCTAAAAACTTTCACCACCGGCTAAGAGCCAGAAGTTCTTATTGGCCAAGTTCGTCGATACGTTTGTCGCGAGTCGAGAAGTGCAATAGCATTTTTCGAGACTGGAAAACCGGAAAACGGGAAGCCGTCTGTGAACGGCAGTGATGACCCCGGAATACTTAATGGCGTTTGTAGTCGTTGACCCTTTAGAGGCGTCAAATACTAAACAGATGTCAACTAAATTCACTGCGGGAGGCGTCCGGATGCTTCTTGGCGCCGCGATAAATTCGCAGACGCCGCGAGGGTCATTAGGGATAGTTGAAACCGGGCGAACTGTTAATGAGTGCCACGAATAAGTACGGGTATTATTAACTCCGAGTGTCGGAGATCGATCGACTGTATCGCGACTGACAGTTAGTGACGTTAGTGTTGAATTGAATGAATGAATATAATTTATGAAAAGAAATGCTTAAGCTGTAGGATAACCTAATAATAAATAATCCTAGCATATAATTCAAGAATTAACAGCATTTGATAAATAGTAGTTAAGTGGAATATTATTTAATATATTAATCGAGATTGTTACATTTTTTGAAATTATTTTTGCAATTTAAAATATTTTAGTAATCTTAATAAAACAGACGGCTGGATGAAGACGATGGATTCGATAATGGATTGGATGAATGACGTAATTTATTTAAAAATTTTTAAACCGTGGAATTACCTAAACAATTCTAGCATATAACTCAAAGAATTAACAGCAATTGATACATATTAGTTAAGTGAAATATTAATCATGAAATATTAATCATTTAATATATTAATCAAGATTTATCATTGTTAAATTTTTCAAAATTATTTGTAAATTATTTTTGAAATATTTTAGTAATACTAATGAAATAGTATTGTAGTATAAAGAGATGATTTTTTTATGATATAGCAAACATTCTGTTTATTACAAAAACTCATCAAATGTGTATATCATTAGCTTTATTTTTGATTTGTGGAAAAATCATTAATGCAAAATGTAAAATATAAATACATGCTTGTTGTTAAATATATCATTAATGGATCATCGGGATTATCAAATAATGATCAAATTTATATTGCATATAATGCATAATTCAAAATAAGATTCGATTTGAAGTGTTATAATGGAAGAATATAAAAAAATTTAAATTTTTTATTCTTTACCATATTAATATAATATTTTATAATATATTAATACAAAGAAATTTTTTATCAACATGTAATTAGATAATATATTCCTACATAAATGCATAACATATTGTTATATGTCTCTCATAATAAATATTAATATTCTCACCGTAATAACGTTTCTTTATCAAAATATTACATCCGAAATTCGCAACATTCTTTTGAAAACCTCTCAATAATTGCGATGTTAATTAAGATAATAATATGTAAGTAAGCTAATATTATTATCATCATCTAGATGACAGTTTTATTGACCAATAAGTGATACCCGAGGACAACTGCTTCTTTTATTACATAAGAGATAAGTATTGTCTCTCCAAATTAATTTCGCGCACGTATGTGTCCGAATGCTCCGAAATTCAACCCGTTGCGTAACGAAGCCGTGACGACGATTTTTCGAAGACAATTTACTTGATTCGAAAACAAGTATTGCAACTTTCGACGTCACGAAACGAATGCAAAAATCGACCGCCGAGACTGAGATTTTCCGAGATTTTACACTCGACCGGTATAATAATCGCGGTCTTGGGCCACGTGGTATAATTGGCAAATATCACCAGCCAAGTAAGACGAAACATGTACACCATCGAATGTGTATTTGTGCGTACAAACAACGTTGGTATGTAAGCTGGCAATGTCCTCGAAAACTGAAATAGTTATGACTTGACTTGAAAGGAAAAGAAAAACACTTGACAGATAAGCTTAAGTACGTAATTATATTAATTGTTGTCGTGATTGTCGCGAGCAATTACGAACAATTAATATAATTCGTAACATATTCACGTAATGTATATTCATAGAATTATATTACAATAATATAATTCTATGAATATGTATCTATCGTTTTATTCAAGGAATATTAAAATTTGGATCAATATTTAAAAATATGATCTGCACGTTGCAACGCTTCAACGATTTTTATGATGAAGAAATGTTTTAATTTTTAAAATGACATTGACTTACGATTTATAAGATTGAAATGTTCGCAAATATTTTAATTCAAAATAAACCTCAAATATATAATCATAAAGTCAAATATAATATAAGTATAACTATTAGTTTTCAATACTTATAAACTAGTTCAATAAATATGGAACGCGAATATAATAATCTGTATAGAATATAATTATCTTCATTACCCACCCAAATTACAGATCTTAATCATAAGTATAAAGCACCCTCACAAATTTACATAAACGTTCTATATCTAACAAAAAATAATTTAAAAACAGATTTATTGAAATATTTATTGTTATAACAATTTTAATATTGTGATTTTCTCTTCAGTTTTCATTCTAAAGAAAATGTAATAAATTGAGAGTGTTTTATATTTATGGCCAAGGTTATAATAAAGTGTAATTACAATTAACGTTTGACGTACGTCAAAATATATATATTTATGATAATATGTGATTAAATAATAATATGCAATTCATGATAATATAAATTCTATTGATAATAAAAATATTAACAGAGAAAAATTAGGAACATGTTGAGTTTATCGTACTTGTTAAAATTCGGACGAATATTCGCGTGTGTAAAACATTCGCCATTTAAATATGCGACCTTCGACGAATGTCTTTCGAAAAGGCAAAGATCCGTGTAATTAAAAAGATACGTATGTAAATTTCAAAGAACCTCCGACTGCTTTATTTAATTTGTCTCGTATAAATCAAGTACCTATCTCGTGCTGAAATATAACACAAATTTTCAATATTGTTCGCAAATATTTATAAAGCAGTTATAAGTTTTTTCAGAAACGCATACGCGTACACGCTACGATCGATCGTCATTCCATTCCAATCTTTTCATAAAATTCGAAATCGCTTAACTAACATCGTTTCATATTTTACATACATTATGATTAATGATTCACATTTTGTGTATCGAATAATATCCACGACTACAAATCGCTGGTAACGATGATTTTATTCCAAATAATGCAGTATGTTGTAGCGTTTTCGAAAGAGCAACTACATAATCCGGCATTACAAAAACATTACAAAAACATTTTGCAATTTTAATTATTGTTCTGACCAAACAATGCAAACGAAATATAGTCGTAAATATGGCAAGTAGTTCAATAGCCGGAAAATATTAATAAAAATGTGGTGTGACTTCGATGAAAGTCTACGTCTCGCGGAAATGATTTCGACGCGCATCGCAACCGCGGTGTCTAATAATAAATTATGATTTCCCAATATTTATGGCTGTAATATCGAACCCGGCGGAGAATGATGAGACGATTTTCATTCCTTGTGACATGTTGTCATTGAAAGTGACTTTGCCGAAATGGGCAAGAATCCTGATTTTCAGCGGTTCGAAATGGAGTGACTCATCGAAAATTAAAGAAATATAAAAAACTTGTTTTTGCGAAACGCATTATGGGCTTTCTACAATAAACTATTACCTAAGTTTTAAGTCTTAAATCATAAGACATTAACAAATCACAGTCGAATGTGAGAAGAATAATCGATTATGATTGATCAATTTCTTATAGCTTAAGACTTAAACCTTAGGTAATGACTTATTGTAGAAAGCCTATAATGCATAATAAGCTTTCTATAATAAGTCATTATCTAACAATAAGTTTCAAGTCTGAAGCCGTAAGAAACTGACCAATCCCAGTTGAATGCGAAAAGAATAATTGAACATGATTGATCAATTTCTTGTAACTTAAAACTTAGGCTAAATTATTCTTTTCACATTCGACTGTGACTGATCAATTTCTTACGGTTCAAGATTTAAAACCTAAATAACGGTTTATTGTAGGAAAATTGTATGTATGAAAATCAATCAATTTTTTATTTCAAAAACTTCGATTAATTCATTTATCTCGCGCATAATGCTTTGCGTTATACAAGACTCTTGTATTCGAGCACATAGATTCGGAATATTCGCACCAAAGGGTCACACCACGCCGCGATGTAAACATAAACGATACGACGCGGCGCGGCGCGGCGCGAGGCGTCGCGCGCGCGACGCCAGGTCGCGGTGACCAACAATCGACCCGCGTAGAAACTACGCGGTAACGACACACCTGAAACGAGAACGCGAGCCTGACGATCTCGCGGGAAAACGCGTGAAACGCGCGAAGGAAGAAAAAGAAAACGTGAGCAAGTTTTTAGGACACTCACCTGAAGGTCATGACAGCCGTTATCCCTGTGACTGGCAGCACGTATCACCCCCGCACGCCAACCCCACTCACTAATTTTATTCACCTTCAGCTTGGTGAAACCACTCACCGAGAGAAACCTCTTTCCCACGATCTCCTCGCGAAACTTGTACGCCATATTACGTTCGGTAAACCACGGCGTGCCGAATCCGCGACTTCGGATCGCCACAGCCGGGTCCGCCAGTCACCCTTTCCCTCGCACGGCCCCCTCCCCCCCCTCCCTCTTCCCCCGCGCGAACGGGCGCCCCCAGTCTCCCTCCCCCACCGTTCCCGCTCCTCTTCCGTCTTCTCGTTGCTCTCTCTCTCTCTCTCTCTCTCTCTCTCTCTCTCTCTCTCTCTCTCACACACACACACGCACACACACACGCACACGCTCACTTCACTCTCCCGACCCCCTGACGTCGACCTGGTTTTTCCTTCTATCCTCCGAGGAGCGTGCCTCGCCCCCGAAAAGAAAAGAAAAACAACAACGGGCACACGCACCGCAAGAGCACACCGCGAGGGGAGGGGACGCGACGGTGGACCCTGTCACAAACGATCACTATTCCTCGACGGCACAAAGCACTACTCCGCGGCCGATTTTTTCCCGCCGAAGATCACGAAGGGCCATCGAACAACCAAAGGACCATGAGGCATGAGGCGACGGCCGGTCACTCGTGTTATCCTTCCCTCGCTGCCGTCTCTCTTTCTCTTTCTCTCCTTCCTCACCAACACAATCCGCAGCCACTCCTTGCTCCTGTTTTGCACGTCTGGACGCGCGCGAGATACTTATTTACGCGAAATACGAGACCTCTCTCGCGCAACTTGAAACAGTTATATCTTCTCTCTCTTTCTTTCTCTCTGTCCGGTGTCGCGTGATCGCCGTTCGCGCCTAACTTCACGGTGTTTTCCCACTGCTCTCTCCCGGCGCGCGCGCGCGCGCGCGCGCGTCCCTATGGCAATAAAGGAGTCCGCGCGTCTCTCCACCTGTGCGCTCTTATTTTTGAATTAACGATGATATACGCGTCGTCGGTCGACGACGCGCGACGTGCCGCGAGGACTGCGAGGAGACGACGACGCGAGGGAGTGAAAGAAAGGGATTCTCTCGCGTCTTCTCTCCGTCTCCCACTGTTTTGACGTCCGCGCGCGCGAGACCAAGATCGACCGGGCACACTTTCCAACTTCCGGGAACCACGCACCGGGTGTGTAGAAGCACTTTTCGTCGCCGCGCACTACGCGGCAGAGGACAGTAACGGCAACGGTGGCAACACCACCAGCGCGGTAACCAAGTACTCCGAACGGTACCAGTGTGAACGTGAGAGTGACACACACATGACCGGTCAGTGATATCGCGTAGCGCGCACTGCGGGCGGACGGCAGGGAGGCACGGCTCCTTCCCGCGGCTCGTACACCCTCCCCCCCCACCGAACGCGCGCGCTCCCTCCCACCCGTCTGGTTAAACCTCCTCCCGCCGCCGCGCCGCGCCATGCTGTGCTACGATCCGTTCCCCCCACCTAACTCCGTCAAGCCGTGAACCAAGAGAGCGCGCGCTCTCTCCCTCTCTCTCTCTCTCTCTTCTCCCTACTCTTCTCTCATTTCTCTTCCCTCTTCCCTTCTACTCCTCAGAGTACCGGCGTCGCGTCGCGTCGCGTCTCGCCTCACTTTCCTGCTATCCATCGCACGAGAGTGCCGTTGGGATGGCCAGAAGAGTTGGCGGAGGGGGTGCTTAGGGCCGTAGTACCGACTGCGAAGCGCGTGGGGTCGCGCGCGCGGGTGGCGCAAGAGGGAAGATATGTTGCCGAGGATCGAAGAGAGAAGGGCGCCTGGGGAGAACTCCCGCCTTTGCTTCTACTCCTCTTCTCTTCTCTTCTCTTCTCTTCTCTTCTCTTCTCTTCTCTTCTGTACTGTTCTGTTCTGTACTGTTCTGCTGTGCGCGCAACACGCACACGGCGTACTCGTGTCACGCGTATCCACACGCGTTCCGCGCTATACACACGCATCGACGTAACATGCCACGTACAAGCCCCGGTTTTCTCTGGTGGATTAAAGAAATAAGTGTTTCCCGTAAAAACACGTGTTTTTGTTTTCCTCGGCAGGAACGATGATAAATTTCGATATTACTTTTTTGAGATATATGTATTTTATACTTTAACTCTCCAGGAGAGCTAACACATCTATTAGAGCCACTTAATTATAATTAAATCTCATTGAAATCTCAAACAATTAAATTTACTTTGTGTTCTACACATAAATTTGGATTATTAAAATATATTTATTATTCGTTCTTTTGATATGTCGATATTTCGATTTCTTGAAATTAATTAGTGCCTTTTAATTAATATAAATTCATTATTCACATAAGTCATATTAACATAAGTCTTACATGTGGTAATGTGTTATTGGAAAATGTATAACTTAAATTACTTTATAGACTTGATAACGTTACAGATTTTTACAGATCCAAATGTATGATTTAAATTACTTTATGTAGTTGGGTGTGTGTGTCCGCAAGCTCATTTAATTTAATTTAAAAATAAGAAGCTCACATTATTTTTTATCAACGTTTGGCAAAATAAATAAATTTTATTAATCAAATGTTTTATGCTTATTACAAATAATTTAAGTCATATATTTTTTTAGCATTACTTATATGTATATCGTATAAAAACTTTAATTCATGAGATGAAAACTCAAGTTTTTTTATTCACTGCAAATTATTTTTCTTCAAAAGACCTATAGAAATATAAACGCACTCGTGAGAATTTCTCACACACACACACACACACACGCGCGCGCGCGCGCGCGCGCACACACAGAAACTTTACATATAATTAATTATCTATGTTTTTAAGTTAAACTTTTTTCTTTTTTACAATAAAAGTTGTATTTGTTCGTTCGTGGCCGGAAACCGTTTCGCTGATAGGAATTCCCTGTCTTTTTTATTCTCTTCTTAACCTACTTTTTAGTTTTCTTTTTCTGCCATCCCTTGGTAGCTGGAGAATTTGTGTGTTTACGCGGTTTGTGGTAAGCCGGAAGACGTTTTACAGTCGCAATTTTTGGAGCAGGTGAAATGTTTGAGAAAACTTCAGTGAAACATGAATTATCGCGTAACGCAAAACACTTCAATTATTCATACTGTGATAAATCATGCATGTGTACGAAATGCTAATATTCGGCAATAAATTTTGATTTTAATTAGTTTATTAACAATATACTGTAGTTACAATTAATGATTTTGAAGAGATTGCTAACTATATAATTTATTATACTATTTTATAATCAGTCTTTATATTAAAATCTCTACTCATTATCATATACATCATTTTTCATTTTTCGTTTTTCATAATTGTAATTTTATCAGATACATACTTGGATTTCGTGTGGTAACTAATTAATTATAATAAAGTGTAGGCTCACGAACACACAGCAATATTACTGGTGTCTCACTCTTTTTAAGGTGCTCTAATTTTATACTCTCTTGATTATAAATTTATATTTCGCATGTTAATAAAGCTTATTATTATTATTTCCGAAACATACTTGATATAATAAATTTTAGTATAAATTCTAGAAGTCTAATGATATTTTTCTTTTCCATTCAGAATGGCAGAAGAAAAAATGAATATCGAATTTTTTGATCGAGCCAATACTTATCGAATTTAAGGAATCAACATTAATAAGTGAAAATCGACTGAAACATGATCAATATAAATAAGCAAAAAAGATATGTTCGGTCAAAACAGGTCTTGCGTAATAATATTTTTGTGTGAATCTTAAAATTTCTAGTTCAAGCAAACTGCGTGCCGACTATTTGTCAGTCTTGAAACATAATCCATAACTGGAACTGGAGTATGTGATAAATCACAAATTGAATTAACAAGCAGTTTAATAATACTAACGCCAGAGTTAGAAAGTAATACGTTATATCGTCGTTATCGTTATGTTACTTTTTTCCAAACGTGAGTAACGATGCGTTACATTTTCTTATTTTTTTCAAGTAATGATAGCGAACGTAATCGCTACTTTTATTGTTATTTTTTTTGTATACATGCAACATGTGTATATGGAACATGCATAAACGATTTGCAAAAGAAGAAAGTATTAAGGTCAGAGTACAAACCTTTACATAACGCGTAATGTACAATATAACGCATAAAAAAAACGACAAATCAATCTTTTCTTTCCACAAAATAAAGAACTATAATTGGTTGATTCTCTTATACTTTATATATTATGCGAAGATCTTGATATTTGACTACGTTATGTGTATCCACAACCATCACAACCACTGTAGATTTCATGTCGAACTGGTCAATTAGTGACCAAGACAATTGAATACCACTATAAACGGTTTATCAAAATTTGGTGAAAATATAATATAACAGAAATTGTAACGACTCGTTACTTTTTGAGTATAATGATAACAAGTAACTTTTTAAAATCAGTAACAGGAATGAATTTCTTTTAAAAAAAAGAACATACTTTTATAGTAATAAGTTACTTTTTGTAAAGTAACTTGTCAAATGCTAATTATTGCTAACGAGCATCATAAAATTGTCACAAATATTGTCCGTTTCTACCAATGTAATTTAATTAGAATCTTGATTCAACTAACTCTTTATCTTTTCTCGTTCTAAAAATGAAAAAAAGATGCAGAGTACGATTGATATTCATAGTCTGTTTTTATTTTAAGACTGTCATAAGTAATGTCTTCAGATACTAACGTAGTTCTCTGATTGGTTCATGATATCTTAAAACTGTACTTAAGACAGTCTTAAATATAAGAAATGACCAAAGAATACCGGTCTAAGAGTTGAATTGAGATCAAAATTAATCTACATTGGTAGAAACGAGCGTAAAGGATTTATTTCAAAAAATGAAATTTTATGAAACAATTTAAATCGCCCGAATAGAGACGAATCGTATCGCTCGCGCGCGTACAGGCCTGGCGCGTCACATGACGAAAACACGCTGTGACGTCACCCGCGCAGCAACGGCGAGCCAGCTGCCAGTTCAACATGGCCGACCTGTGAGCGGCGGTGCTACAGACGGCCGTCCGCATTTAGTCGTTCGTTTCTATCCGTTCGCGCGCGTCTCATTCGTGCCGCAGGACCCGTTAATATGATATCGTCGATCGTCTCGCGTCTCGTCATGTGAGTATCCACACCGTCGGCAACGGCTACGCCGCATACCAAGTGGCGTCAGTCGATGGAGTCGACCGT